ACACACACACACACACACACACACACACACACACACACACACTCACATCCTCTGGCACGAGCCGCTCAGCCACCCGGTGGCCTCCAGTCCGGACACACAGCCGCTGCTGTGGCATCTTCCCCCTGTTGCTCTTGAAGAATTTATTAAAGACAGTATGTAAGCTGGTGTGTGTGTGTGTGTGTGTGTGCGTGCGTGCGTGCGTGCATGCTTCTGTGGTAGCAGGTGGCCGGTGGAGTACAGCAGAAGATGGATGGAGAGAGCAGAAGTGCAGTGGAGCCTGGTTGGGCCAGGCCATGGGGGACAGGATGCCGAGTCATTTATTAGAGGCCAACACACACACACACACACACACACACACACACACACACACACACACACACACCTTACCTTACATGAATGCAAGCAAATACAATTCTTCCCCCAACAAGCATCTGCACACACGCTCTGTCACAAATACATATGCAAATACACACACATTTGTGCTCCCAAAGGCTTTAGCAACACACACACACACACACACACACACACACACTGACCTAGTATCTACCACTGGCTATTCATCTAGCCTAAAAGTAGAGCAGCAGTAGCCACAGAGTAAATGTTTCAAACTTGGTGACTTTCTGTGAGATTTCGCTCCCGGCCTTCKATCAGCCTCGCTTCTGTTTTTAACGTTTGATCCTTTTCTGGACCATTTTGGGGTCTTTGTCCCCCTGTTTGCATCCCTCCTGGTGTTAATGTTATCAAACTATGACTATGTGTGTGTGTCATTGATCCAGCTGGAAGCTGTGTGTGTGTGTGTGTGTGTGTGGCAGAGAGCAGTAATATTCCAGGCCTTTCATAATGATTAAAGCCTTCATTAAATTTTCATCCCAACCTGCTGTTTGCTGCTAATGGTCTTTGTGAGCCACACAGCCAAACAATAGCCAGCCGGGCACAGAAAAGGGATTTCTATCTCGAGTTCAATACCTCCCCCCTCCCTTTGTCTATTTCCCCTTCGCTTCTCTTCATCTTTTCTTCCCTTACCCTCTCCTCTTTCTTGTTTGGCCCAGGTTGTGTGTGTTTGGTTGTGGAGGGCCTTTTATTAGTGCGTTTCATTTAAACGTGCAGCAGATAATGCTGCGGGTTTGATGCCACGCCACCGTGGCACTGTGCTAATGGGGGTCTGCGAAGACGCTGCTCTTCCTTTCCCTCCCGTACTCGTTTTTCTCACTCTGCCCTGGCTGACTCATAGAGATCCATTGTTTTTCTTTTTTACTGTGGAGCCAGTTCACGAGGTCCAGCGAAGCTGCGAACAACCCAAAACACACCTCAATTACAGCTCGGCTCGACAAACAGTCCAGGTTTTTTTTTTTTTTTCGTAAAATGTGCCACAACAGGCCTCTTTATCGACTGGAATAAAAACAAGCAGACGGTGAGAGCTCACCAGCCGTCACGGCTGCTTTTAAAGCTCGACAAAAAGCCTGGAAAACAAGGTTAGCACATCACAGCTTGAAATGAAAGCCTGTTGATGTCGTGCAGGAGCAGAACACACATCCAACGCACCTATGCTTAAAGGCAAATACACAACTGCACCGCCGTGATGTTCTTTCACCTTTTGGACTCCAGGCTGCAGGTTTAGTGATGTTTGACTCTGAACTGTACGACGTTTTAAGGAATTAGTGCGTTAGTTTGTTTGAAGGTCTTCACAGGTTCCAGGTTTCTGTTGAGAACTGTGACCTGGATCCTTTTTGTACATCTATAGCAACAAAACCAAACTCACTAAAACATTTCTGTATGAAGCTGATAATGTTTTTTAGCAAATAAACTCATGAACTCAAAGAATTTGTGGCTCGTCACATTGAAATGAGGATTAAGTCAAATTTGAACAAACAACCTAATCATATTTTCAGATTCCTGGCTTTAAAAGCTACGTTTTGATACTTAGATCATCCTGATATCAATAATCCAGAGATATTATTTAATTTGTCTCGATGATTACAATTATACAAAATATTTGGTCTAAATCCTAATTTTATGTAATTTTAATGAGGATTTTTTATATAATTTGAAAAAAGAAACCTCATAGTATTTGAATATCGAGATTTCCCAGCTGGAAAGAAATAAAAGGGTTGATAGCTCACAGGGAAAATCTCAACATTTTAAGGCGTTTTTCCTCAAAATCGGGTGTTTGGTTGCTTCTGCTAAAAAAGGTGCTTCAAGACATTTTTTAGGATAATATTTCAGACAGTTCATTGGAATAATACATTGATAACATGTTTATTTGTGTTTTGACAAAATGTAAGTTTTGCAAGTGTTTTAATCAAAACAATACATCTGCCTATTTCTCCACATACAACTTTTAGACTCCTGGTTTCGATGTGATGGCTCACATTTTAATGAAAATTTAAAAAAAAGAAAACTGGATGATTATCTACAACTGTTGGAGCCACAAAGTTGGCAACAACTTATTTAATTTGACCAAGTTTTAGCTAAAATTTGGTGTGATAGCAGCTGCGTACTTTGAGCATTACACATTGCACGGCACCGTTGCTTAAAACCTTAGCATTAACTCCAGACAACAGCTCTGYTTGTCTGTTAGTAAAATATCTCGTGAACCATTGGGCATATGTTAATGAACCTTTGACAAAGTAATCATACGATGTACATCTACAGCTCCTTAACTTTTAGAGTCAACCAGCTCGACTTCAGTCAACCCAAAAATGGCTAAAAATCTGCTGATTGTACAAATAATGAGATAAAGTTTGATGTTGTAGTAGCTGGAAGTCATCCTCAACAGACATTAGAGATGCTGAGACATTTTCATTGAGCAGGTTTGACCAAAACATCTAAAACTAAAAAAAAAAAATTWACGGTGAAGTCATTTTCCTAAAACAGAAACACGCCTGGTGGGATTCATATCATTTATCGGTCACCTGCATTTTTACAGGGATCTGAGCCTCATTTRTCTGCTCAATAACAATTAGAATTGGCCACGGGCTGATTTTTTTTCTCTTTGCTGGACTCCAGCTGGTCGCCTGAGGCTGTGTTTGAGAATGAAACGCTGAGGCCATTGGAGCAAAGCTATGTGTGTAGACCCCAGCCAAAACTACAGTTGAGCTTTCTCAGCAGCATGTGAAATCTTTGTCTGACGGCTCAAAATGAATTATCATAAAGGCTAGAAAAAACAGAGAAAGGTGGCAAGATGCTTTTATTCCTTTGTGCCTCCTCGGCTGAAGTGAGTGTTCCTTGAAATTAAAGCCAGGAACCATTTGGAGAGTTGTTAAGTATATATTTTTTTCTTTTACACACTCAAGCAGACAACACTCACACATGCAGACRCATCTTACTTGTCAGGTTGTGATAAATATGCAAAGCAAAGTGGACAATAGGCCCAAGCAGCTGATGCTGTCAGTCTGTATGCTGGGAAAAAAAAAACAAAAAAAACAAAGGCTCTCCTCTTGTCTGAATATGTGTGGGTTCAGTTCAGAACGAAAGAGCGAAAAACACAGAAAACTACTAAAATTTAATGTTCTGTAAAAATGCAGCGTGAATGCTGAGCGACTTTGCTGAAGACACTGAAACTGAACTGTAAAAGTTAAAACAAGCAGAGCAAATAAAAGCAAAAATTAGCAAAATCATATCTAACTAATAAAATTAGCAAAACTGTAGCTAAAGGCTAAAGCAAGCTAAACCGTTAAAATCTGAAACCAACAATGCAATAGCTAAAATATTTTCAAAACTTTAGCTAAAATTTAGGAGAAGCAAAAAAAAGTATAAACCTTAAAATTTGCTGTGAGATAAAATGAGCACAACAGAAGCTAAATGCAAAAAGTAGCTAAAACATACATAAAACATAGAATTTGTTGTCTGATTTTGGCTCTTGAAGAATTGCCACAAAATGTGAAATGAAAACATAAAGTTAAGAGAAGCACAACATTATTTAAAAAGTAGTACATCAGCAGCTAAAAGCAAATATTAGCATAGTACCTGCTAAAATGAGCAAAACTATGGCTGCAAACTAAAGCCAACAAAACAGTCTAAAACCAACAATGCAATAGCTAAGAACTAAAGTTTTCAATATTTTGGCTAAAATTTAATAGAAAATTCTCAAAACAGTAGGTAAAACCCTAAATTTGCTAAATCATACCCAAGAGATTAAAAAGAGCACAGCAGTGGCTAAAAGCAAAAAGTAGCAAAACCAAATAAAACCTAAAATTACTTACTACTTTCTGCTCTTCAGGAGTTGCAACAAAACATAATATAGTAGCAAAAAGCTAAGATAAGCACAGTAGTTATATAAACAAAAAAATAACTTCTCAACCATCAGCAGATAAAAGCAAAACTGTAGCTAAAAGCTAAAGCTAGCAAAACAGTAGTCTAAAACCAACTATGCAATAGCTAAAATCTAAAGTTGTGAAACTTTTTGCTAAAATTTGAGAAGCAAAACAGAAACTACAACCTAAAATCTGCTAAATCGTAGCAAAGAGATGAAATGAGGACAACAGTAGCTAAAAGCAGCAAAACCATAGATAAAACATAACATTTGTTTTCTTCTTTCAGGTCTTATGTCGTCACTACAAAACATGAAATCAAAGCCAAACCACACAGCTCAACGTATAAGTTATACATCAGCAGCTAAAAGCTAAAGAAGCACAACAGCAGCTTAAAACTACCAAAACCCTAGCTAAAACCCTAAATCAGCAATACAGTGGATAAATTTGCAAAGATAACATTGGCAAAACCATATCTAAAACTTGAAATTCACAAAACCAAAACTGAAGTTAAAAAGTTATCTCCCCATTCATTTCAATAGAACCAAATTTAAAACATAAATTTAACAAAAACCAAAGGTCATASAACCCATCAGGCCAGTTATTAAATGTTTTCTAAAGAAATCAGCAGGTTTGAAACAAACCTTCACTTTGTTGTTATTTCCCATCATATAAACAGGAAAACAAAGCTGAGTCAGCATTCTAACCCGACAGAGAGGGATGGAAGTGTGACAGCCCTTCATCACTGACCTTCTGGCTCGTTTTTGATCAGCTCCTCCATCTTGCGCTGTTTCAGTGTGTCCACAACRTCAGCCAGGCTGCCCTTGCGTCTCTCGGGGGTCCCCAGGGTGCCGGTGGCCGAGCCTCCGTCGCTGCAGGGTCGCCCCCCGCCTCCGCCCTCCTCTTTCCCCGGTGAGGTAGCATTGTGCTGTGAGTAGGGACTCAGTGAACTCCCCTTGGTGCCGTCGTGGTCCTGCAGGGAGGAGAGAAATGGAGGTTAGGAAGGAGAACTAAAACTTGTCGAAATAAGAGAATTAAATGGAGATTAGGAAGGGAGCTGGCAGGGAACTACTCATTATCTCCATCTTCCTTTCCAACTCTTCCTATTYTTATATCTCAATGCAACAACTTTCATCCTTGGCCAGTTATCTCAAGTTAGGGCATGCTTCTTCTGTCTCTCTCGCATCCTCTGGAATCTGCATTTGACTGAGTTGGAGGAAGTTGACAGGACGAGCACATGAAACGACACGAAAACACTCGGCGCGCTTGAAAGTGTCACGCTAACTCTTCATCACAAAGGCTTTTGTGGCTCCCTTTGAGAGATGTCCAACGCCGCAGTGATCCACGCCCAACTTTCAGAGCCGACCAACTTTTGTCTCGAGATTCGSGACGGTTAATGCTGAGGGTGCAATTTGGGCGAAAACGCACAAGAGTCAGTAGGAATGATGCATTCCTTTTGAAAGAAGAAAGCTCTGGAGCGGTGTCAGTTTTCCATCAAAGACCACCTTYAAGTCACCAACGGTACAGGCTAAAGTAAAGCTTTCCAAAGTTCTCACCAYGACTAATTATCCTGCTGTCTTGTGTCAAAAGTTTAGTTCTTAACATATTCATTACGACAACTTTGAGAAATGGTGATGGTAGGCAGATTTGCACCGAAACTGTTCGTAGAAAATTGTTAGAGACCCGGATTAATCGAAAAAAAAAAAAAATGCCGGCAAAAATAAGGATGTGACTTTCGACTGGCACGGTTTCAACCATTTTTAAATTTAAAGATAAACTTGTGGAGGAAAATCCACTCAGGTATCATATTTRATGTGAAATATTTGCCGTCTCCAGAAAGGGGGTAGTAAATAGATCTCAGAAGAAGAAGTGGCAGAGGGAGAGGAATAATTTGCCACCTTTACAAAAATATTACAAGCATGTTAAAAGTTTAAACTTATCCTCCCAGTTTTGAGTATCAGACTTTAAATCAACTAAGCATGTTTATGATATAAAAGTAGTGTGATGAATACTTAGATATCTCAGCCTGAATCAATCATATCATATAAAAAGTCCTGTTCTGATGAGATTAGTTTTACCTAGGGACCCCATGCTATTTATGAAAACACACACACACACACACACACACACACACACACACACACACACACATATATATATATATATATATTTTTTACTTGACATGAAAATTGTTTCTTATATCAATGGTAAACTTTAAATTTATGAATAAATGCAACAAAATAAATTTAAAAGGTTAAAGATAATAATTGTCCTGCCCCTGAGCTGTTGGCTTTAAGTAACGGAGGAATTTAGTTGGATAGCTCAGTATTAATGTCTGAAAATAAACTGCTTTAAAGTCAACATCCACCATAAACTAAATTTGCTATAATGCATACTAGCTACTCACTAGAAACTCATCAGTGAGTAAAACTTTTATTTCAGATTTAGTCAGTCGTACACTTATCGTATTTATTTGTGTATAATACGATCTCTTGTATAATGCTCCCCCCYATTTATATCTTAAAAAGCATAAAAAACGTAATTCTCATACTACCTCTAAATTCACATGGACTTCAGGATTTTTCAGCCTTTGCAGTCTTTATATTTATCAGTAAAATTATCATTTGACTGTTGTATCAGTTTTTAATTTTTTTAACAACATATGTACTAAAAGGTACTAAACAACAAATGTATAAATAAAACAAAAACTATCAAATGTTCATTTGTTAACTGGTGTGATATAACAAACAGATAGAGCTATGTGGCTCTAACAAGTGTGGATGAAGCTGAATTAAAAGCCTTCAAAATCAGGCTCACCATCATCAGTATCAGTAAAAGTTTCTGGTATTCCTCCTCTGTAATAAAGGCATCAGAATCCCACTCAACAACAATCTCATCCTCTGCGTCTCGCGAGCGCCCCCTCTGGTGGGGAAACTTTTTTCAGGTAGACCAACTTTTACAGAACACCGGTAGACGGCAGCCATTACAGACGACCATGTGTTTGTTGTAGTCCCAGGAGCGGCCCGGCTGCACATTAATATCGTTAGTTCGTTATCATTACTTAGCTGCAGGACTGCCTTTTTTTCTTTTTTCACATCATGTTGCCTGCTTGGATCTGTTACTATCTTGCTCGGAGGCACAAAGGAGTTTTAGAGGTAAGATCGCTTCAACCGCTTTTTACGACGTGGTTTCATTTCCGGACTCAGRCATTTTGTTAATGAGGCTGATATTTCAGATAAAATACATAAGTAAAAATATTTATCCAAGTATAGTACTACCCCCCAACTTTGTCCATGATTTTATGGATTAAATTTTACGTATTATACTTGAATAAATATGGTAGTTCTTATCAGTGCTTAAAAGAGGACATGTTAAAACACTGTTTAGTTAATTACAACTGGCCCTTCGAGGGCTACCAAAACGCTCATGTGGCCCTTGGTGAAAATGAGTTTGACACTCCTGGTGAAGGACTAAAGTTTCTCTTTGTTTACTTAACTTTTTTTTTAAAACATCATGTTCCAAATGTGACATTTTTTCATTTATTTAATTATTTATTTATTTTCTTTATCACTTTTATGCCTGCTGTTAGTGGAAGGTCATATTTTTGTGGTGAGAACAACCATGATCTGACACACATTAGGTACAAATTGCTCCCATCTGCTGAACCCGATGTACATGTCAGAGCTATTTGCTTTGGGAATGTAAATGAGAGAAGGGACGAGACAACAGGTGTGAACGAGGCTCAGAAATGGAGCATAAATCAGCCTTCTTCATGACACTGGGCCTCAACCATTTGGAAATGGCCAAACTTGACAATGAACCTGAAAGCAGCAGGTGAATCCTATTGTAAGCACAGTTTAGCATGTTAATCTTTGGCCCGGTAAGACCTGTGTTTGTTTCTACAGCCAGCGTTGCGGACTTAACACCGGCTCAGGCCAATTAAAAGTGACAYAGAGAGGGACGGCCCCTCACCTGGAAAACACCACTCAAACATGCAACGACAGTGGAGACCATGCGAATAAATAAGCTCTGAATTCAAAAACAAAGATAACAATGAGACAGCTGAACTCTCACGTGGGTCTGTTAAGGTGTGCTGTTTAATTATAGCAAGAAAGAAACGAGTCAGTAAGTCAATCATCCAGCCAGTCTGTCAGCTCAGCCCTTTGTGAACACGAAGGTCAATGGTCCACAGGGTTAATCTTTGGCTAATCTCGCTGCAGTGTAGGCACATGCCACCTGAGACAGCGACACACACACACACTGCAAAGTTCCTGTACGTTTGTGTGTGTCAGAGTGAAGTGCGTTCCAGGTATATTTAATATATCATGTTGTGAAGGCAGAGATGTAATCATTAACTCAGAGTTGGTGGATCACAGTCCATGATGGAGTAATCAGGACAGCAAATAACTCTTAGAAACAGAATTAAAACTTTCCTTGATTTAATGCTAAATAAATGATCTGGTTCTGAGAAGTGGCTTTGTTACAACTCAAGTACAAACGCAGAATACATGATCTCCATTGATTATTTCTGTTTTACCAAAAACAGTGTTTTTCCTGTTTGATAAGGATGATAAAGTCAGGAAGAGGCTTTCAACAATCCTTCCATTGTTAGTGGCTCAACTCCATATGAGAGGTACAGCAGACCATTATCACTTGGCATTTTCAACACCTCACTGCCTCTCTCACTTGGACTCTTCGTGTTTCCACACTCTGAAGAAGCTCAATAATTCACCACTCTTCTTCTTGAGCTGTAGCAGACTGGCAGGTTGTGAGGGCAGCGATGAAGCTGCAACAGTTCGGGCACGATCGGTGTTTAAAAACRTAATTGTCTGTAATTACAAGTAGCTCAAAACGCAGTACGAGTTTAACTTATGACATCTAGGTATGCTCATWAAGTTCAGTGTTTCTAAAATAAACTTACCGTTTAAATAAAACGTTTTGGATTGAGTCGCATTCAAGAAGACCTCAAGGGACACAGAAAGAATTGGAACTCAGCCATTTTTTTTTTCAGAGATTAGGCTCTAATCTGGTTTGGTAGTAGCTGAAAGTAATCCCCAACTCAAACTAACTGAGGAAGATCTTTTTTGAAACTTTGCCATTACCTTTCAAAATTAACACTGTTAACTAAATATTTAATGAAGCACATGGTGAATTTTTATTGATACGTATTTAAATTTTGGGATCAAACTAATTAAAGATGGCCGCCACAGCTAATCTACCTTTGGCAACAAAAAGGGCTSAAAATTACAGATAGTGAGATGAAGCTAGCAGCCACAGAATACATCTTTATACAGTATTTAAGAAACTTTACTTGGTACTTTTGAACTTGACTCAATCGGAGTGAAACAGGAAGTGACATCAAAGGGGAACTCATTAACAAAAGGAAACAATATTATTTAAATTCTGACTCTTCATCTCTGATAGACTCAAAAAAAATCTAACTAACATCAGATTCTTCTCTACGGTCTGTGTTGTCGGCCATTTTAGCAACGCTTTGTTTACACACAGACATTCCCCTTTGACATCACTTCCTGTTTCTTCACATGCAAATAACTTACTGACTGCTCATCTCAGCAGCGTGAAATTTTTGCTACAATATATTATCACTGTYATCTGTGCAAAAATGCATTCATAATTACTACAAAAAATGATGTTGCAGCCACTTTAACACACCTTTAAATAAAACTCCTGCAGTCCTTCAAGGAATTAACGAGTTGTGCCACCACCATGATGAGCGAATGTAACAAAAACAGCTAAATTTGAAATTAACAAAGCGAGAGAAGGATTGCTATTAGAGGAAAACACAGAAGAGCAAGTTGAAAGAGAGAGAGAGCAGGAGGAAAGAGGCATCTTGAAGGCACCGGTCACACCTGTCACATCCCATTTATCTAATCCAGTGCCTGCTTAAAAGAGCCGCACTCTTTCTTTTGAGGAAGATGTTGCGCAAACAAAACAAACACAACAAGAATATGG